AAATTTAATTTAATTCATTAATTAAATAAATCAAATAAAATAATAAAATAAATTGAATAAACTTTATTAAATCACTTTAATAAACATGAAGACTATATGCACTTGATTGATCCCCTTTTTTAAGGAATTGTAAAATGCATTAAATTGGAGAAACTATTACAAGCTAGAAAAGGAAAAAGAGCTAACATCCTTACCTTTCCAAACAAGGGGAAAGGAAGGTTTATTGAAGAGCAAACATAGCAAAAAAAGTTAATTTTCAAATAGAAAATGCCATAATGGAAATAAAATCCACTAATCCTCACCTTGAACTAATTGGGGTGTTGGGGACACCAAAAGTTTGAAAAAAAATCAAATTTGTTGGTTAGTATCCCAGATTTTTCAATTAGATGAAAAATGAAAAATAGGAAGAGTCATAAATTTCATTACTCTAATTTTATAATGCATATAAAAAACCTTTCTTAAAAACTTAATACTTTGAGGCCAAATTGTCACCTCTTCCCTACTAGGTCCTAAACTTTTTTACTCGTCATCATAATCATAACTCTGACAAACAGGGTACTGATTCCCATCGCAACTATAGCACTTACCCTAGGTAAGTCTTTACATGGCCCTAGGATGTGATCCCATTTCAAGCCTTCCAAAGAACATTTTGGAAGAAACAAACTATCTTCCTTTGACAATTAATCCAAACAAATGCAACCTAGTAGCTACAAAAACTCCAGTATTCGATACATTTGAATCCGCTTTAAACATCACATTTACTTCCTTAACCATTGACGAAGAAGTGATTCCACAAGCCACTTCATGAGGCTTCTGTTTACTTTTAAACTCCCCAGAATCCATTGAATATAAAGATGGCCTCTCGAAGACCAACTCCCTATCTTGGACATCTTCTGGTATATGCTCCCTAATCGAGCCATCAAAAGCTTCTACAAGATTATCACTCCCTAACTCGTTACTGAATACAACACTTCTTTGTTATCTAAAAATCGGCAACTAATAAATTGGCAATAAACTTCACTGCATCCTACCAAATTAATTGCCCAAACATTTGATAAGACGAGGAAGTATATATGAAATGAGCTATCGCAGCCCCTGATGTATGTTCCCACTTTGAGGCATTAAAGACATCAATAGGAAGTATACCGTCAACATGCTTATGAAACTATACAGAATAAGGTAACCCTACAGCTGGTTTAATGAGGTGTTGTTTTTCCCTGGACAAAATGTCAATAATGTTAAAATACCATGCATAGAATTTCCATAGACATTTCCAACAGGAAAACCACCACTTATTAGACCCCTTCCATTTAACAAATCTCTCCTTTCCCATAAAATAGAAGGAATTCCCAACCGCTTCAACTGTAGCTGCCTTAACAAAAACCCCTCCAAACATCCATGCCAAACTTAACTCCGCAATAAATCTATTAAATCCCATCCCCATAGGGGCATTTAGAAAACCACCTTGAGGGTGAAACTTAGGGAGAATGAAAACAGGATCCACATACATTAGAATTTTTACAAATTTTTGTAATTAAAAAATGAGACATATCAATGAAATTACAAAATCTTGGACCCAAAATTCAAGCTTAATAGGAGAATAAACATCATCCTTTACATAAATAGGAGAAAGAAGATATTTGCCCATGCTCCTCAAAACAAATCTTCTACCCCTATGAGAAGCTGAGGATGGATTAAAATCAATTACATAGACGATCCCTCAATCCTTATAACCAGAGCCAGGAACCATAATATTTCTGAATGACCTCCTCCAATCCGAAGCAGGACAAGGTCAAATCTAGAAATCACAACAACGACCCGGGGTCACTATCTCTTCATGGATTGCAGAAGAGTATACCTCAACAGATTTCAAGAACCATACAAAGCACTTCTTGATCAACCCTGACCCAACATTAACTTCTCTATTTTCAACAAGAAAAACATCGCTATTGAACTAAAATGAACTTCCCTTACCACCAACAGCCAAATCATGAACCCAAAAAACCACCATAACCAGAGCAGCACCCTCAACATCCATCACATGGGTGAAACCCCCTTAGGGTCAAGGGGGGCAATTGCCCACCCCTAAAAAAAAAATTCTTTATTATATAATTCTTTAGGTATTTTAGTCTTTATTACAAGGATTTTTAGGCAATTGCTCCCTTAAAACATTTAAAATACTATAATCTTTAGGCAATTGCCCCCAACAAATAGTAAAGAGAAATCATCATTTTATTTATTAATTTGAATTTCCAAAATATCCTTACAACCAAAATTTGTTCCGGGGGCACTGCCCCCGAAACCCCCGTAGGGGCGCTGCCTCTTGACCCCGCAACCCGACCATGAGTTTCTCTCTCTACTTGATTTATCCCCCTTTTTTTTTGAAGAAACGCAAATTGCATTAAGAGCAATAAAAAAACTAATACAAACTAAAAAGGAAATAAATCTACGAGTTCCCAATCCAAACACAGGGATATGAACCTTATTGAAAAGCAAATAAACCTAAGAAAAAATTATTTGTTAAAATGAAACTATCATAATGGAAATAAGATCCACTCCTCACTTTAAACCAAATTGGGTAATGGGGACACCAAATATTAAACAATCTAAAAAGTTAGTATCTTAGAGTTCCCAAATAGGTAAAAAATAAAAACTAGTAAGGATCCCAAATTCCATTACTATAATTCCATAATAATAATAAAAAACTAAGCAGAAAACAAAAAAAAATGAAGAGGCCAAATCTCCATAGCAAACCCACGAAGACCAACCCTATTGCTATATACCAATAAACAAAACATCCAAAACAAAAGAGCATAACCCCCTGCCCCCACTAAGCCACTAAACATAGAAAAGTCTTAAAAAACATCCAGTAGCTTAAGCTCCATTTTATGATGGACTATCTCAGGCTATAGGGCTAAGTGTCCTAAGGAGCCCTCGTCATCGAGCCTGATGACACAATGCCACAAACTGATTGGTGGAAAATCTAAATTAATTTAATATTAAAAAAATCAACAACTAATCAAATTAATTAAAATTCATTATTCCTTTAACTTTTAATTAATTTAATTTGATTGATCAATCAATCTTTAAAATGCATAAATTAAACCTTAATACATTAATATTTAAACTCAAACATAAATTTTCTCCTCTGACCTTTAACAAACTCAAAATTTAGACAACTTGAGTAACTACCCTGGTTAGTATCTACCCCAGCCACATAATCTTTAGCACACACTTTAGATGGTTTGCTAGGAAATCAACTCTAATTTTGGTATCATTGTTTGGAGTCACTTTAGATCCACATTCATAATTATATAAATCCTTAAATTTTGTAAAAACTAATCACATTCATAATTACGTAAAAAAGAAACATAGCAAATAAAACTGTGGAGAGAGGTAGAGCTATTTCATTCATGGTAACTTCAAGTAAAATTTGATTGCCTTGGAAGAATTCAGTAACGCCTTACTTAATACTATCAAGTAATGCATGGAGGAAAGACCAGCAATAAACTCAGCTGTCTCCATATCATAGAGAAGAACATTGAAAATAAAGCTAATCAATAATTTGAACAATGATTGGGAATGATATATCTTCTTGTAAAATTTTGATGGATGCATAGGAAATTTAACTAAAAGAACATTAAACTACAAGCAAGCTAATGTAATTTTTTAATGTTTTATAAAATAACTTTCTAATGCAAACATATCTTATTCAAAAATGTTTCCTATTTATTAAATAGATTGTAGAAACAAATCTTAATTCATGTGAAACGAAATAATCAAGCATCAAAATTTGATTAACATTTAACAGGTGGATATTCAACAAAACCATTTGCATAAGATTTATATGAGCAAGATCGTTGAGAAACAATTCATCTTTCTTGAAGGTCATCAAATTCAAGTGACAGATATTTGACCTCAGAATCAAATATTAAAACTTTGATGTTTCATTTAAACTAAGTAGCAACATACTATATAAATGTTTTAAATACAATTAGTACGTCAGATTTCTAGCAGAAAGAATAAAACCATAGCAAGCTCGTTGCAATAATACACAAATGCCACAAAATATTAATAGTTTGCATATGATATAATAAGAGTAATAACCTATGCATACATCACTTTGAATAAAGTCAAAACAGTTTTCATCCTATTTGTAATGCAATGAAAAAGGAAGAAGCTTTCTTTTCCCAATGGTATATGTAAAACAATTTTTAAAAAAATGATAAAAGAATTTATCTTTATAACCCAACAAGCCATAATCCATAAAATGAAATAAGATTTTAGAATTTGAATGACATAATCGTTTATTCCATAAGTTATCATTTGTATTTTATTTATAAAAAAAAACAATGAAATCTTCAGCTGGAAAAAAAAACAATGAAAGCTTCCTAAAACCTAAACTATGACCAGTTCAACTGATGGCAATACTCCTACAACCTAACAAAATTCACATTAAAGACGCTAAAATTGGGCACTTCGGTGCCCTTGAATTTCTTTCCTGAAAAACATGGAAGATTAAAGACACTAACTCAAGCAGAAATTGCTACAGCGGAAAGAATAAAATAAGGATCATAGAAACATAATAAAAGCTTAAAGGAGAATAACGATTAGAAGAAAACATACATCTAGTTTAGAAATGCCGATCAGTCGGAGGTAATAACCATAAGGTCCATAATCAATACAGAACAGTCGTTCTCTGTGCAGCTTAGAAATGCCGAACTGGAGCACGATAATTGATGATGAGCTTATCCACCGAGTTGACTAGTGGGTTGATGCTTTTGGCGAGAGACAAAACCGGATGAGTAGTTGCATTTCGCGAGTGGGAGAGGAGAAAGCAGAAAGCGAAAGAAGTGAGAAGAAGTGCTTGGGCTTTAAATCGGGAATCGTTCGGCCAGGCGACTTGTTCGTGCGACATCTTGAATTGAAACATCCGGGTATGGTAGCCAATGAAAGGGTAGATGGTGAAGTAACATATAACGATATGAATGCATGTGTTAGAGAAGCTTTTCTCTTCATTACACTACAGCAAGATGAGTTACCCATAAATGAAACGGCGAGGGGTTGCAGTATGAAGTGGAATAGTCGGATTTGTAGCAATTGAGGGCTCGTTTGTTTCCACGTAATTCCTCTGTTTTTCGGTTTGAAACGAAAAACTCCACAGTCTATCAATAACCCTTGAATATAATATTTGGGGACTTTGACTGAGTAAGATCAAATGAGGAAATAATTGTTGATAACCCTCCAATCTCTCCAAAACCATGGATTTTAACTATTGCATCTTTATTGCATACTAATCTTTCTTTCAATTGATATAATCAACAATTTCATAATCCTATTATATGCCTTTTTGGACCGAACTCTTTATAATAATCACTAGTTAAGCTCCTACCCTATTTCCCATTTCTTTTAGTCCAATGTTCGTTGATAACTCTTCCGTCATGTTACATGTGGAGCCTCCATCCTATTCTAAAAGAAGGATCATATACTTTTTTTTTTTTGTTTATTGGCCTCAATATCATAGAGATTGTTCAAACGGCTTGGCCCATCCCTATCGGGGGAAATCCCAAATTTGCTTTGTGCAATAAACTTAATAATGTCATAATTGCTTTGAAGAATGAAAATTCAATTTTTTTTCTTCTACATTTCCAACAAAGTCTTGCTCAATGCTTCAAAAACCTTTATTTTTGAGAATTTTGAAACTCAGCATCTAGGCTAATCACTTTTTGGTCTACATATCCAACATGAACTTATTTAAGCCATACAATGTAAAAATAGTTGTATAAAATGAAGGGACAAGTGTTCTTGGCTTACAAAATGTAAGGATGACTTGAAATTTCTCTACCAAAAAAAAAAAACTCTAAAGGAGGAAATTATAATCTTATGAAAGAAGTTAGTACACCTTATAGGCTAGTTCACTCCACTAAAGATATCTCTAATGAAGAAATTCACTATTTTTCTTATTTTACTTAACGAGATGATCACATAAACATTTAGAACTATATTCCGTTCCATATTGGGTTGGCTCTATTTAAGGAGGAGCAAATTAGCATTATGGCTGGCTTCTCTGATGTTGATATTAAAAATACTTTATTTAACATAGATAATGATAAAGACTCTATTCCCAATGATTTTGCTTCTAAAGTTATGAAAGATCTTGGTCCATCACTAATAGTTCCTCCATTGACGCCATTTGACACTTCATTCTGCTACTATGCCTAACCGTGTGAATCATTCTACTATCACTCTAATCTCAAAGTATTATCAATCACAAAAACTCGCTGACTAAAGACCCACCCACTTATACAACACTGCTTACAAGGCTATTTGTAATGTCATTTCAACTGACCCATAGTCTTTTTCACTTTTCTGAGTTTTTACGTAAAATTTGATGTGTCTATTATGACTCTTGTACTCCTCTCTCTTTATCCATATGTGTGTTGCATCTTCATTCAAAGCTAGTTAAGAAGTTAAGCTCTTCATCTCTCTACCACCACAAATATTCTAGGACGTAACACCCCTAATCCCATATCACGACTTTTGGAGATGTTCAAGTTAACTATTTGCTATCTTGTCCCTTTGGATATGTTCATAGAGATTATGATGTATTATTTTATGCAAATTTTTTATGCTTTGGGAGAAATGGAATATTATGAAAATCTCTCACTATGTGTAGATGCAATCAAACAACTATTAAATTTTTTTAAATATACACCACAATTCAGTGCTCGAAAATTCTAGTTGCCCTGTATGAAATATATAACCACTTGACATAGTTAATTCTGGGTTTTATGAGCTTGTGTTCATTTTTTTATCATTATTATATTTTTTTTTTGTTCAAAGTGGATCATTTTTTGTCATTTTTGTCTTAAATTTATTTTTTTAATCTAATTTTATTCTATTAATGAAATAACTGGACGCACCTTCAATTTCCTTATTTCAAACATTAAAATAGTGAAAATAACGGCAAAGGTTGCCAAGGTAGTGACGGCGATTGGACGTCCGTTAGTAGGCAGAATCGCTCCCGTCCCTCCGTTCTCCCCCTTGTATAAGTGGCCGGCCTTCCTTTCTTTAGAATTTGGTGGTCCACGGCAGCTCCTCGGTGGTCTTCTCGCGCCGCGTCTTCTTGAACAGCTTCGTTCTTCTCTTTGGTGTTTCTCCTGTAAATCTCTCTCTCTCTGTCCCTCTCTCGCTCTCTCTCTCTACAGTTATTTATTTGAATTTTAGATCTAGGTTTATAGGTACAATCGAGAGAGGTTATCGGGTGGTTTTGGGTTGATCCGTTAAAAATCACAGGTATGCTAATGGTAAAAAAATGGAAATTTAGCATCGATCTTGATCATCACTTTGACCGCGCAGAACTTTTCATTTCATATTGGACGGATTGGATCTGAATTTCTTCTAGGTTTGGTTCCTCCTGGAATGGATTTGGGAGAGGCCGTATTTTTTGTTTCTATTGCTTCCTAGTTGTGTTCTAGTTTTGATTGTATGATTTTAGTGCTTTTGCTTTTTTGGATGGTTCTATGCATTAGGAGAGGGCTGCCGATCATCTCATTTCACATAAATCTGGTAGCTTCTGCTTTATTTTTAAATTTTAAATTGTTAAAGCGGGTAGTTAATTTTTATAGAGTTTATGACTTTGAAAGATTTTTTATCCTGTAATTCAGGGATTCTTCAGATGTCTATATGGAATGGTGAATTTTATTCTTGGTGATTTGGAATATGATCACAATATGTTCTGACATGATACCCAGTCTTATATCTGGGAATGAGGAGTATGAACATGGAAACCCTTATTCTCTAAACCTGGATAAAAAGGGGTATATGTTTCAAGCATCAAAATTATAAGTTTCCTTAGTCTTGAATCACTAATAGGTTATAGGTTTGGTAAACAAGGCTACAAGGAAGCCTTGATTAGCAAACAAAATGTGGAATGAAAAAATATAATCCTTAAATTATTTGGTTTAAAGGGGTCACTAAAATGGGAAATGTTGATTTAAGTTTTCCTTATTTTTGGGTAATCGACCAAATCGCATGAAAATGAGGAATATTGTGTGAAGTAAAACAAAGAGGGGAATTATGATCCAAGGAGTTGAAAATAGTATATGAACAATCAAATAGGAGATGAGACTTGTACACTTCCGTCCTTTCCCTTGTGCTCACACATCTTGATTTAAGTTTTCCTTATTTTTGGGTAATCGACCAAATTACATGAAAATGAGGAATATTGTGTGAAGTAAAACAAAGAGGGGAATTATGATCCAAGGAGTTGAAAATAGTATATGAAAAATCAAATAGGAGATGAGACTTGTACACTTCCCCCTTTCCCTTGTGCTAACACATCTTGATTTGCTTTTTGACGTCAATTAATCTTGATTATTATGAGTTATTAAACCCTGACCTTAGAAAATCATGAGTTTCTTTGTATGTTATATAACATTGACACAGTAAAAAAAAGAGTTTCTTTTATGTTAGAAAACATTGACACATAAGCTGAATTGGCTAAAATGCATAACTTATTAGAAGGTAGCATATGAAAAGACAAACTTATCAATGGATTTCTGAAATTTTGAATATTCACTATGGAGTCATCGTCATTATTTTGTTGGCTTGTTTCAGCATGGTCATCCAAATCTCCATAAGGAAGATTATTTTGGGACACAGTAAAAAAAAATAGAGTTTCTTTTATGTTACAAAACATTGACACATGAGCTGAATTGGCTAAAATGCATAACTTATTAGAAGGTAGCATATGAAAAGACAAACTTATCAATGGATTTCTGAAATTTTGAATATTCACTATGGAGTCATCGTCATTATTTTGTTGGCTTGTTTCAGCATGGTCATCCAAATCTCCATAAGGAAGATTATTTTGGATATAAATTAGATTTGGATTGAGATTGTTGGACATGATATTGCTTCAAACTTTTGGTAGATTACTTTAACGACTCTTTCAATTATCAATATTATAAATCCAATATCTTGAGCTCCAATGACTCAAGAGGTCAACAATTTAACCATATTCATAGTCAATCTCGGAAGATTATTATTGTGATGATTTGTTTGAATATGAGTATGTTGATATATATTATTATTCTGAAGATCAACATTTAATTAATTTATTATTTAGATTAGGGTTAGAGCCTAAGCTAGTATATTCTACAGTTATTATTGATGCACTTGAGATTAAGACAATATGTGCTACTTACTTTGATCGTTGATGCTCATGACGTAATTCAATGACATTATAATGTAATTCACGATTGATAACATCACATGTCATTGAGATGAGTTCGTGTTTCCTCTCTTGGCACCCTTGAACTTTATACTTAAACTACATTCTTTCTTCTAGGTTAAAGATTATTCCTAGTTGCCCTGATTTTTTTTATTCTTTTTTTTTTTCTCAAGTTTGTCATAATGTGTGTGCTGCTAATGTGATTGTCTGTTATACTATTGTTTGAGTTGACTGTTTTCACTATCAAACTGGATGCTTTACCATGACCACTACCCAAGCCTCTTGATGTTTTCCTTGTGCTTTTTTTATTTTTCTCCTGTTGATTACAAAGTTAAGCACACGTCAGTTCCACCTCCTCCACCATGAGCACCTTATAATTCTTCAAAGAAGAGTTTCTTTTGGCCCGGTCAAATAATGCATTACAAACATGGTTGTTTTATTCTTTTCCATGAATAAAAGACTCTAATATACTAAAATAATGCCAAACAATTTTTTGAACCAAGTAAATCTTACAATTTTGGCTGTGGGTGTGGGTTTAATGGTTTATGGTATTGTATTGTTTGCGCTATGTCCTGATGGTAAACTTTAGGGTGAGGGTCAACCACTTAGCTTTTTTATGCCAAATATATCTTTCAATTATTTTATATTTGACTAAGGTTTCATTTGGGTTAGTTTTTTTTTGCCAATGTTTAAAATTGCGTAATCGGGTATTGAGGCGTTTTTCGTTCGTGAGGCGAGGCGTGAGCCTCAAAATCAAAAAATTACATAATCTTAAAATGATAAATTTTGTATATATTAATGAGCAAATAATTTATAAAACATAAAAATGCACAAGATATGAAATGAAATCAAAATATCCCAATAATAAGACAACATGAATACAATAATATACCAGTTTGCTGGGGGTCCAAGGACAGCGCCCCTACGGGGGTTTCCGGGGGCGCTGCCCCCGGAACAGATTTTTATTGTAAGAGTAATTTTGAAGTTTTGTTTGTTTGGAAAGATACCGAGCGATACTTAGCATGTACTGAGCAGTACCGAGCATGTACTTAGTGGTACCAAACATTGTTGTATCTAGTGGTATCGAGCATGTACCTAGCGGTACTGAGCATGTACCTAGCAATACCTAGCGGTACCGAGCATGTACATTAGATTTTTTTTTTTAAATTTTTAGAGGCAGACACCTCTCAACCGTGAGGCGACCGCCTTGAGGCACGCCTCTTATTGCGTGGGCTTTGAGGCTTAAAGGGTCGAAATTGTGCTGAGGTGCGCCTTGAGGCATGCCTCTTATTGCGCAATTTTAAACCATATTTTTTACCACTTTGCTTTTCAGAGAGCAACCATAATTTTTATTTGGCGAGTGTTTTTCAGTTCTTTTAATAAATTTTTGTGTTAGGAATATCGTTTTCTTTCCATGAAAATTATGGCTAATGGTTGCAATATTCTTTTATTTTTGGAGGTGTTGGCTTTTTTGTAGAATCATTTATTTTATGAGGTTTGTCATAAGACACTTTACTGTGTTGAATCTACTTTCCAAACCATCTAGTGTAGCAGATTCTATGACTTCAATAGATTTAAAAGGGTTTGCTTTTATTTTTATCATGTTTTAAAAGCATCTTAACTTAGAGGTCAAGAATCTATGCTCTATACCACTTGATGTGGAATATGATGCTAGTAGGATCAGATATGAGGCCTAGGTCTTGGATCTAGAGTTGTGGAGGATGAATGTGACGTCCCTTCATTTTGAACTCTGGATATGTGCTTGTTTTAAGGATCAATACTATAAGTTGCTTTGATCCTTGGAACACCAATATGTTTGATAATTAAGGGTATAAGATAGTGTTAATTAACATATTAAGAAATGATGGGATTCTTAATTGTATGGTTTTAAGTGGGCTTTTACAATTAAAAACTATGATTTAGGTTATACCTATTATTCGATAATTAGGAATATGGGATGAAGCTAAATAATATGATACGAAAGAAAATAAAGAGTGGAGTAATGCACCAAGGTGTTGAAAGTAATAGAGATAATCCTTATCAAATCTCCTTGTAAACTCCTTTTGATCTTGAAGTCCTTTGATCTATTCTTTTTTGGATTTTCCTCCTTGCTTGACCTTAGTTTTATTCTTCTTCTCCTTGACTTGATGGTTCCTTTCCTTCCTGCTCCTTCAAAGCTATTAAGCCCTTCTCTCCTTTATGTTGTGATGGTTATAGAGAGATTAGAGAGAGTGCTTGTTTTGAGGGAGGTGATAAGATTAACTAGGATTAGAGGGAGAGGGTTATGATAGATTTTTCAAGGGGAGAGGTCCCATTGGATAGCTATAAGAAGAGTGCAATAGAGAGAGGGAGGAGTAATTGTGAAACTTCTTGAATTCAACCTAAGTGTATTGAATTGAATAATAAAATGAGAAATCAATGGTAGAAGCTCATTATTTGTAAACTTATAAAATCTTATATAAGCATGAAAAATCTAAATAATGATGATGATAAGGGCTGATCCCTTATGTTAAGCATGTGATAAGTTATCAAATAAATAAGTTTGTTAATCTAATCACCCATACTTATTGAACAATTTCCAATTTAAAGCAACATCATCTTTCATTCTCTTTTAGTTGCTGACCACTTATAATGTGTTGAGAGTTAAGAGACTTTAAATTCAAGGCATCTTGAATTCCTCTTAAATTGGATTATAGTCCTTCATGCAGCCTCCATGTCACCTTTAGTGCTCATTTGGACAAGTTAACCTTTGGTTTGATATTGAATATGACTTTAGGCTTTGGATTTGATGTCTACCATAACTTTACTATATCTTGATCAGTTGATATTGTATCCTCATGGATACAGTACAACAACATCAAGGTCCCACTACGTGGGGTCAGCTACATGAATCCGTTTTCTCTATTGTGTTATGTTAAAAGTCCAATTCTTATTTAAATCTAATAAAAAAAGATCATTTCTAATATTGTCTAACAAAGTCTTTTTAGGTCTACCTCTATCTTTCTTAACATAAGTCAAATCTAATAGCTCTACTTTCCTAATTGGGTCATTTTTATGTGACCAAACCATATAAGGCAATTCTCTCTAATCTTATCTTCCACTAGCGCTACTCCAACCTTTCCATGTATATGCTCATTTTGTATCCTTTTTTTAAGGGTAAAGTCACTCATCCACCTGAGCATCCTCATCTCTGCAACACTTAGTATTATGCTTCTCTTTTCATGGCCAACATTCGACAACATAAAACATTGCAGGTCTCACCACCATCTTATAGAATTTTCCCTTAAGTTTGAGGGAGACTTTTCTATCACACAACAAGCCCGATGCATTCCTCCACTTCAACCATCCAAGTTGAATTCTGCTGATAATATCCCCATCTATTTCACCATCTCTCTAAACAATAGATCAAATATATCTAAAATGGGTACTCTTATTAATGACTTGATCGCCCAGTCACAATACCCTCACTAGGTCTATTACTATTAAAATTACATTCCATATATTCAGTTTTAGATCTACTCAAGAGAAAACCTTTGGACTATATAAGGTTTATGCACAATTGGGGTGAGGTGTGCCTCAAGGCATTCCTCAGCACAATTTTGATGTAAATTTGAATAGATGCAAAACTCTAAAATTATGATTTAAGTAATTTTAAAATTTAAATTTAAAAAATTTTAATCTATTATTAAACATATTTACTATATATAAACCAAATCAAATTTGAGAAAAAACCACACAATCTCAAACTTGTGGCCACATGCTACAGAACTCTTATGCCCATATCGATCCTGCCAAGTCGCCATCATTGCTTTTCCACTACAACTCTTGCTACAATGCCTCACCTCTTGTTGTTGGAAACTCATTTTCTTAGTTTTTGTCAGATGGAGGAGAGAAAGCAGTTAAGTGCAATGATGATTTTAATGAAGATCGTCTAAGTGATAAGAGTAGGGGGATTTTAATTTATAAATAATGACATTGGACTTCTTATTTATGTTGAATTGAGTGTGTGAGAGACTATTTATTTAGCACTTACTATGGCATTATATGGCTTTTCTTACTTTAATATCTTATTTTAATATCTTTGATGTTATTATGTTATTATTTCATATTTTTTTATGAATTTAATGATTTAATTATGAAACTTACATCTGAAAATGCCTTGAGGCTTATGCCTCACCTCAACAACAACAACAATAACAAGCCCTTATTCCACTACGTAGGGTCGGCTGCATGAATCCTTTTTCTCCATTGTGTCCTATTAAAAGTCAAATTCTCGTTTAAATCTAATAAAGAAAGGTCATTCCTAATATTTTATAACCAAGTCTTTTTAGGTCTACCCCCGCCTTTCTTAACATAAGTCAAATCTAATACATCTTATTCTCAAAAATATTTTTGTTAATATTCTTTAAATGCCCCCATCTAATCCTAGAAAATCGTTTTACTTTATTTTTTATCTTATGCCTCACCTCATAAAAAGAAAACGTTTCAATATCCAATCATGCAATTTCAAACCTTGGTTCAATTGGAATTCACACATCAATTGGAGAACTTGGTGTAGCAAAGTTTACTACAATTAATCACATTGGTAAACTCAATATCGAATTATTTAGGAAAAATAAACTAGGTAAGGTATCAAGTAATGCAAAAATCCAAGCCTTCCACCGTATTAGGAGATAACTTAATGTGTGATAATTGCTTTTTCACTATCGTCAAAGAAATCCACGTCCAACCAAGCACCCAAGATTGAACATGATAAAAAATTTAATTCAGCAAGAGCCCACTTTTCATGCCTCAAAATCTAAAAATTGCTAATTTTTGGCATTTTAAGTGGAACACAAATCCCATGATAATAAATACACAATAGAAAATTTGCAAGTGATAGGATAAGCATGCAATCCACAGAGGCTAGACTCTAGCTTTAGGACCGCATTACAAGAACTGAATGCATGCACATATCGAGAACCCAACAAGCAGAGAACCTAGATGTAACAAAGCACACCAAATAAATGGAACCAACTCGAGAAAATTATAAAATAAGAGACATATCCTATTCTCTTAGGGAGTAATGCTCATACGCATATTTGTAGAAATAATCTAAAATAATATAAAAATTATGAATGGAAATTTACAACATAAAACTAAAAATTACAAGCAAGTTTGCTAGCCATTCATGTGTGCCTTCGATGAGCTACACTCTAAAATCTACATCAATACTAGTTATTGAGATGAACAGGTTTGTTGCTTTTTTAGCTAAATGCAAAGAGTAGCATATTTGGCATTGCTTTATTAATGAGCAAAATGACCATCAACATTAAGTGTAGGGGATGGTGCGGTCATTGTAAGGTAACTATGATGAGCGTCATCATAGATGTCAATGACGCAAAATAACACGCGCCATGGCGCACGGCTCTGCGCGGCGCATCTACTGCGCCATGCGTATGGCGCGGCACAAATGTTTAATATGGAGCACGCTATTTGTGCCACATGTGCGCCATGACGGCGCAAAATAGCGCACCAAATGTTTTTGAAAATCTTTAATATAATTATGAATATTTTTTATATTTATTTGTTTTATTTTTAAGATAATATATTTTATATTTTAAGTTAAATTCCATGCGGCTTGTGCCCTAATTTCACGAATGCTCCCGCAACTGATCGAGAGTCGAGATGGGCTGTTCCCTGCTTCCGTCGAATCCGCCCCCTCCGTTTGTTTCGCATGGCTACTCTTCTGTTATTTGATTCCAATTTTAGCCCTCTTTCATCTGTTCCGCACGGCTCGCTGATTCTTCCTCTGAATCAACGATATCTCCTACAAGACTTTATAACTATTGGTATTCTTATATTATCATAGATGATTCTTCCTTTGAATTATTTTGATGCCTTTAGTAATATTACGTTGAATTAAAATGCATTATAAATTTTTATCCTTGAAGATTTTTAAGTAGGCATTGTCTCGTTTTTTTTCTTAGGTATTTTATGTGAAATCATATATCCATATTCTATGCTCTACCATTTAGATCTATTGAGAAAATGCATTTTATACCTCACCATAAACACCATAATGATTTCTTTTCTATTTGAATATATTAATCACTTGTAGTTTTATAATATGGAAGGTTTTGTCACACAAACTATCATTTCATACAAGAGGAAAGTAGGAAACAGAAAAGTAGAATAAGCTCAATAAAATCATATATGCAAGTTACAAAAGCAAAACTACATTCTCATTCACAAAGTATTTTAGTGCAGTAGATTAAATTCTTATAAAATCATTGACCTTTAAAAAAGTTATAGTAATTTTTTGAATTATGAGATATTTGGGTGTTATTTACTTGAACTTATTTATGACTATGGTTGTCTTTCAATATTATGATAGCTTGTCTTTCAACAACAACAACAACATCAAGCCTTTATCCCACTACGTGGGGTCGGCTACATGATAGCTTGTCTTTCAGTTTAATGAAATTTTATTTTCATGCTTATTATTTTATAATTCTTGTATAGTTTGTGTCATGTTTAAAATGGTGCGCGCCGTGCTGTGAGCTATGCGCCATGGCTCCATAGGGACATTTACATCGTGATGCGCCATTCACCGTTAACAAGTATGAGGATCATGTTTGATAATGCTATTGCTATGAATAGAGCAAACATCAACATTAAACATAATGTTTGGCATGGTTGTTGTTGGTAACTACAGTGTGTGGCTTGTCTGACGCCGCTATCGTTGCGAGTGAGATGATTGTTGACAGTGAGCATAATGAGTGACATCTCTAATGGGAATCTCCAATGGCAACTTTATTTATAGAGTTTTTTGGTTATTATTTGAAATATTCTATTTATCCATAGCAAATGATATTGATTAAATCATGCTATGATCAAATTTTGATTAGATGATGGTTGCCCCTAGGCTAACCTTCCTGACCTGCTGCCCATTTTCAATCTAACCTAAGTGAATGGCGGTGGTTTAATTGCAGTCCATTGTCAGCAATGTGTGATATTGTATATTTGAATACTACATTGTAGGAAATGACATCGCAAGCATGTTGATAATGGCGGGTTGATTTTTGGAGGGACAAAATGACAAGAACAATCTAGGGAATATTTGTTGCCTTTTGAATGGATCGTGCAAAAAGATGTGACAATGTTTTTTTTTTTTTTTCGTTTTTTATGGATTAATCACTCTTCTTGAGATGGACATTATAGATGAGTAGTTCACTAAATGGTGTAGTATATAAGGTGCAATGGCTAGGAGAAGTTTGGATCTGTTGGAAGGAATTGCATGGTAATGAGTGTACGCTGGCGTGCTTTTTTAAAGCTTGTGAAGGAGATGTTGGGGGAGGGTCAACGCAGTTTTTGTTTTCTTGAGGAATTATAGAGATCCCACAGGAAAGATTTGCGTGTTGCATATTTTCTTAAATAAAGTTATAAATACGGTTTGCAATCTTTAAGTTATTGTGGTCTCTTTACTGTTCTGGTTACATCTAATTTCACATCCACCTATTTGTCAAAGGCTTTCAAATATGCAATAAGCTAGTTATAATGAGTATGCCCTGATGTACTGAAGTCATCTAGCTTCTGATTGATTGAATTGTTTTGTTTGGTAATTTAAGGTTGTTATATGTGGGCTAGTGCTTACTTTGTCATGCTTTTTAATGGTAATTAATCATCTTTGATCTGTTTCTCAGTTGTGAAGATGGGGCTGTCATTCACCAAACTGTTTAGTCGGCTTTTCGCCAAGAAAGAAATGCGCATTCTTATGGTGGGTCTTGATGCAGCTGGTAAGACCACCATCCTGTATAAGCTGAAGCTGGGAGAAATAGTGACGACCATCCCTACTATTGGTACGTGACTAAGGCAATTGAAAAGTTTATGGTGATCCTTTTCTTCAAAATAAATAAATAAATAAAACGAAACTTTTTGGTCTTTATTTTTTCTGGTTTTTAGTTGAGAGTTTGATTCATTTTATGGGTTCTTATCCTCATTCTTTACTCCGCTGATCTATTTATCTATGAATTTGTTTAAAGTGGTTAGATCAATTTGTAGTAAACATCAATGAATTTATGATTCCTGCTGGATTTTCTTGTTCATGTCAGCTCTGCTAGGTTTATTGTGTTTGACTTGATTAGAAGTTCTTTGATCCTGTTAATTTCCTTGTAAAGGTGGGACCATGAAATTTTTTTTTAGAAATTCTTATTTATATGTATTCGCTTGTTTATTGTTAATATTTGTATCTATTGAGAGATTATGTCTGGAATTTGTTATAAGTTGTCCATGACATTTTAAAAGTAAAGGGAACTTAAGTGGTAAAGCCTTGTTATTTCATACGATTGGCTGATAGTGTCTTCCCCGAACTGGATGATTCCGTTTGGCATGACAATTATTCAACATTTATAACCGAATCAATACTTTAAGGACCATTTTTTTATGTAAATTTTGAGTTGAAGCACAAAATACTGCAGCTTTGTAACACCATTGTGTTCATAAAGCCGTGACACCATGAAAGGTATTTGTGAGAGTGGATCTTAATTGTTAAGAACTAACATGTTTTCTATTAGTCTCATATGCACCTACATAAATGTTTCCTTTTTATCTTTTTATATCGTATGAATTCCTATTTCTTATTCTGTTTACTTTTGCTTCTTTTTAGACCAATTTTTTCCAAGTTTTTTTTTTTTTTTTTGAATTTTCCTTAAACAACTTTTTTTTTTCCCAAAAACTTGAGCATTGATCTGTTATGTCCTTTGTAAACACAGTATTATTTATAACTAATGATTTGATATTTAAAAGAAACTGTGACGTTGATGTTATGCCCACGTTAAGTTTGTTAGGAGTGAAAGTAATATGGTTTTTTTTTCCCAAAAAAGTAATATGGTCTTTGTAAAGAGATGGACGAAAAAAGGAAAATATAAATGTATCCAGAGAAGGCAAAATATATTTTTAGAAAATTATAAAAGCGAAATGAAGGACTTCTTATTGCAATGTGATTTATTATAAATAGGGGACGTTATATTTAAAAAAGATGCATTAGATCTCTAGAACTGTGTATACTATTGAGATTCGGTGACTTTGATGAGTATTGTACTAGTATGGTTAAGTGATCTGTTTAAATAAAATTTAAAAACTTCTGTGGTGCTTAATGAATGATATTAAGCATTTTGTTATGATATTTAAGAATAATGGGATTTTTGTGTGCCTACTTAAGTGGAATCAAGCTATGTTACTCATAATGGATCTAAGAAAGAGGAGTGTTGCAGCAAAGCTAAGAAGAATTAAATTTATATGAATAAAAAATATCTATATTTTGTGCCAAAAAAATTTAGTAATTCAAATTTAATTCAGTTAATTAAAAATTAAATGTGTTAATGAAGAATCCTTATATGGTTGTTTACATTGATCATGATAAAGTATGTTATTGAATCATTAGAATTAATCTGGTGGATGTTTAAGATTAAATAAGAGAGTCAAATGTGCGACATAGTAGTAGTTGGTATTTGAAATAGTTGTTGATTCTCATCACTTCTAACTGTCGTTGTTGTTTTTTTTTTTTAATTAGGATCTCAGCAATTAATATTTCTAAAATTTATTTCATCAAACATTCATTATGATGATTTTTTTTTCCTTGGCCAGGATTCAATGTGGAGACGGTGGAATACAAGAACATCAGCTTTACTGTTTGGGATGTTGGGGGTCAAGACAAGGTAATTTCATCTTTAATTAAAATTAGATTTACAATAATAGGATCTTGTTTTTGTATTATCATATGTCGATTTTCTTGGCAAGGTTGCCCTGGTTTTAATTTGATAGGCCGGTCTCCTATTATTTGAATTTACTGCTGAAGAATCACTTGACTGACTCCTGATCTAGTGAAGTGACTATCCTATCCCTGCCTTTTTTTCCATAAGCTTCTTCTGTCATGCCCCGTTCTTGTATTTGTATTGAAAACATACACGATGGAAGTATATAATAATACCCAATGTATTGCAGAAATATACCAAGTATGATGTCTTGGGGAATGAAGGAGGATGTGTGGCAGAAGCAGTACTGCCATTCCAATGCCTGATATAATTTTTGTTTATTTTTTGTGCCGTTTTAGCAGATTTAATTAGAAATTGTCGACCTCACTCCTGTGGAGGAAAGTTAACCGCATTATCATTTATATTCTGCATTCATTTCCTTTGCCTGCTTTGGATGGGATATTTGGCAGAAGGCTTATTAGGTTGTTTGTTCTTTAAATGTGAACAACAACTGTTTTGGGCCGGAGTTCTTTTAGGGGCTATTTGGCTTGTTTAAAAAGGAATGCAAAGTATTTCAAATAGAGGGGATATGAAAATTTTGATGCTTGACTTGATGAAAAAGAAATATAGAATAAAGTTTTGGTGAGTTTCTTTTTCACTCCACAGTTCAATTTTTATGCATTCTAAACTCATATGTTTTTTACCGAATTTTGAAAAAAACATTGCAAGCTGACTTTGTTGTTAACAGCAGCCGTCACCCAACCCAACTATACCATCGTTGGCCGCCAAACCACCATTGGTCACCACATGTTGCCCATCAACCTCCACCATCGTTGGGTTTTACATTGTATTAATTTTATTTCATACTAAACAAAGTAATAATAATACTATTATTATTATTATAATAATCACCTACACTCATCTAAAAAAGACTTGGTTAAAAAATATTAGAAATTACCTTTCTTTATTAGATCTTAATGAGAATTTGACTCTTAATCGGACACAATGGAGAAAAAGGATTCATGTAGCTGACCCCACGAAGTGAGAGAAAGACTTGTTGTTATTGTTGTTGTTGTACTCATCCAAAAAACTCAAAATATTTTAAATACATTGCATTCATTTTCCTCTATATTTCATTTTACTTGACATTTCTTTTTAGCAAATCAAATATTTTCAATACATTGCATTAGCGGTGATATGCCATGCATCTTTTGAAATCGAGTGTCCATTTGGGGAATGCTGGCATTGAACAAGTGCTAATACTGATTGTATGTTTTTTTTTTCCTTTTTATTTCTGTCATTTTCCCTTATTTGGTAAGTAAGTTTAACCGAGGTTGGCAGGTTGCATCCTTTAATTCTTGTACTCTCTTGGTTGTTGTTGGTTTTTCTTAAGGTTATATTCCTTCAAAGGCTTGCATTGTAAGTCTTTGTTGTTTAGTGCCATGGCTTTGATAACGCAATGTTGATGGCTGGTATGTGCAGGAACCTGATTGTTTTTTTTTTTTTCGCTTGAACCCTTATTGTTTTAAATACTCGAATTGATTGAACATACTTAATTTTTTTGGCTATATTTTTAACGTAAAATGGTGCGTGGGGGCACTAATTCTCTGGTTTCTGTTGGCTGTTATGTGATTAAAACTAATAATTATACTATTTTATATTCTTCTACTTTCATTTCAGATCCGTCCACTATGGAGGCATTACTTCCAGAACACGCAGGGGCTCATTTTTGTGGTGGATAGCAATGATCGTGACCGTGTTGTTGAAGCCAGAGATGAACTCCACAGGATGTTGAATGAGGTGGGACTCCATTTCATATCCTCACTGCTTTCTATTCTCTCTATAGCGGGGCAAATTATTATGTGCGGACATTGGACACAAGCTTGCGTCTGGATTACTGTGCTTTTACTGTGCTTTTGATATATTTTTGCAAAAGGGCAGCTAATACACAATTTTAATTGCATATTAGCTGCCCTTTTGTTGAGTATTTGCAAAATTACAGCAAAAGCGCAGCAAATATCTTACTTATTAAGTATTTATTGTCCTTTTGCTGTGCTTTTCAAATACTCAGTAAAAGGGCAGCTAATATGCAATTAAAATTGTGTATTAGCTGTCATTCTGCAAAAATACATCAAAAGCGTAGTAAAAGATCAACAAATCCGGACGCAAGCTTGCGTCCGGTATCCGCACATAATAATTTACCCTGTAGCGGAGGCATCTTATTTTCTTTGTCAACTGGATTACTTTTTGATACCTGGTTTCAATTTTAACCTTACAGGATGAGTTGAGAGATGCCGTCCTGCTTGTCTTCGCAAACAAACAAGATCTTCCCAACGCCATGAACGCTGCAGAAATTACAGACAAACTCGGCCTCCACTCTCTTCGTCAACGCCACTGGTACGTATATTTTCGCCATGATTGTTCCCAAAGAACTCAATTGTGCTTTTCATTCTCATTACAATGTCATGTACTTGGGTCCTTACAGGTATATCCAAAGCACATGTGCCACTTCTGGAGAAGGGCTGTATGAAGGGCTTGACTGGCTCTCAAACAACATAGCTAATAAGGTATGTCTGCAAACGCATTTCACAAAATCACCATAACTTGCGTTGATCACTTTTGCTTCTTGCTTTATTGCAGTCTTAAAAAACAATATGCTGCTGCTGCTACTTCTACTGAAATAGAAAAGTTTGTTCTGAAGATCATTATCATGGATCTATAAATATGACTTGAAATAAAAATATTGTGATTGTTATGCTAACCAATCCTGTGTTTGTTTTGTCTGTTTCTTATATTTTATGATGTTTAGTAGTAATATTTCCAATGGCTGGAAATTGGTGTTTGATAGCATTGTATTGTGTTGCCTTATTCAGTATAATGATTTTGTTGGATGATTTATTTGAGGCGATTTTGATTTTGGTTCTCTTTCATGGCGACAGTATTAACGCTCCATGTTTTTTGGTACTTAGATGCCCGATAAATTATTACGTGCTCAGAGGCGAATCAGGATGTGCCAGATCACCTCGGTACACAACGATACACATCAAATGGTGATGTGGCACGTTCTGATTCATCCTTTGGATGACGTCCAGTGACCGCACCAAATGCTTACTGCAACATTTTTCGGTAGTCTGAGTATTACAATTTTTCTTCTTTTTGCCAGATTGAGCAAATTTTGAAAATTCTGAACGTTACTTGATTTGATTGAGCTTGTTTATCAAGAATATTTATAATATAATGAGATGATTTCACATTTTGTTGAAGTTTCAGATTATTTGATCATAAATTGAGCATAAAAAAGTAACACTTGCGATTTAAACACTGAGTGAAAGAATTCATTAATATTGTGAGGTTGACTTCTATCAATTAAAAAGCTTTAGATGTAAAAAGAAATATTATTAGATTCAAATTTTAGACTTCTATTTTAGATCGAACAGAATAAAATTCAACTGTGGTTGGAGGTTCCAAATATAAATAAAGGTTTTTTTAAAAGTTGAAGAGAAGTCAAAATTATTGGAATCAGAAGGTCTAATGAATCATCCATAATTGTACAAAATCTGTTCTTTAAAGATGTGAATATAAAGCATCTGCTGCGACAATCTCTCTCAGGATGTGTAAAATAAGATAGCTGTAAAAACAAAAAATGATGTTGAAATGATTCCAAGTGAAATATAATTGAATTGAATTTGTTTTCATTTAGAATTTGAGGTTGTATAAAAAAATTTATGGCTTGGATTAGATTGATTCGATTTCGCTTTTAGGTTTTGATGGGATGGTTTTTTAATTGTTTAATAAAGTTATTTATTATCACAAAAAAAATTTTGAAAGCAGGAAAAAATAGTGATCACTTTTTTGTTTTTTTTCATTTTTTAGGATTTTTTTTTTTTTTTGAAGAAATTATTTCATTAAAAAAGGAAAAGGTACAAGCAAGTCAAAAAGAGGACTAAGCATCACAAACTAGAAGAAAATAGCCTCTAGGAAACAATCAATCATAAAAGAAAACTCAAATAACTCGGGCTCAGTTAGTGGCAAAAATCTGCAACCATTCAAATGGTAGGCATGGGCCATCCAAAAGGAGCAACCATCATCAGGCCATAATGAAGAAACCCATAAGTGGACAAACATAATGAAAACCCACAAGAAGATCACCAAGCAGTTGCCCCAGTGGTTGCTAATAAGCTTAGCTGATCAGATAGAGAGCATAATAGTCTCATCATTGCCCGAGGTAAAAACCTCACTACCACCATCCATATCAATAAAAGCCTTCCACAACCCCAAAGTCGAAATGCCAGACAGCCAAAAAAAGGCATCCCAAACCCCCACTCAAACACGAGTGAAAGCACCAACATCCAGACATAAGCAAAAATTCACATTATTATTTGGATTTCCTACGACGACGCTTGCCCCCACCCAAGGAACAAGCCTTTTCCATAATATAACCCACCTGTAAACTATAAAATTCATGCAAATTATCAATCGGGTCAACCAAACCTTCCCCCTCCCCTTCCCCACTAAAAGAGGAAACATCCAACTAATCAGAATGATCTACAGAGAAAGCTTTCAACTTGCTAGCCAAATGAGCATGCATTGCATCATTGGAAATTAAAGAAGTCGGCACATCAATAAAATGAGCAGTCCCAAGAGCCCTCATAGGCGAATTCAAATCAGTTACATGAGAACTTTTAGCTGTAACACCCTACTCAGAGGATCCAACATCCACCACCTGATTAACTTCACACTGACCCTCAAACTCTTCCACCGGATTATCATCAGGAACAAAACCAATTAGTGACTTCTTAATAACAATAGGAAAAACAATGATTGAACAACCCGTAGGCACAATAACCCCCTCCAAAATAGTTGGAGGGGTACAAACAAACCATAGGCTCATGATCATCAATATTAATATTACAAACATCCAAATTCTCCGTGACAAGTGCATCAGCGTACGGAACCACTAGAACAACAGGAGACCCACCATCAGAAGCAACCAAAGAAGGCCCCACAAGACCAACAACAGTGGAATTAGCAACAACCCCAGCTCCCTCCACCCCAAGATCAGAAACCATCCCATTACCCGCACTAATGAGGACCTCCCTAAATGATTTTTTTGTTTGCCTCTACAATAAAATATCATTTCTTCTATGGGCATCGCGTAGGTTGGCTCAACCAACGTCATACATGTAAACAACCACATAACATTATGATGATCCAACATATTTTCGCTCCTTACTAGACACTTAGGCTTCATTTGGGATAACTTTCTTACCGCTTTCTAAAGCTGCTTTAGAAAATGTTAAGAAAGCTATCTCAAATGAATCTTTTATATAATTCTTTTGAGACTCTAATAAAGCATATTTAAAAGAGAAATCTTCTTAAAACATTTAACTTAAATTGCCAAAAAAAAAAAAAACTTCAAAATAATTTAGCTAAGGATTTGGTGGGAATTTGAGGTTATTTAGTAATAATAAAATAAATTTGTTAAAAATTTGAGCTGTATAATTCTATTGCAAGTCATCTTATCACCATCATAAACTGTTCCAATATGTAGTATGAAACAAAGCCTGAATAAACCAAAGGAAAAAAATAAGGTACTTTTTGAATCAATGAGGATATAGTGATTAGGCCTTTCACCTTTGCAATCATTAGAATTAATTCAATTGCTGGTCCCATCCATAGTTATTCTAATCATATGCTAGCTTACTATACATAATGGCATGACAAAAGTGTTCAAAGTCTCCATGTAATGCCATTTGATTTAAATGATTTAATATTTATTGAAAAGAAAAGGCAGTATTTGGATGTTAAGAATTTGAACAAAAGAAATTAGAAAATATTAAAAAGCTTAGATTAATATTAGAAGCAATCCATAGATTATTTAAATATTATTTCATTTTTGTCACTTTCCTTCATTCTAAACAAAATGTTATGGCAAAAGGCCCATAGATATTTTGGTAAAAGAAGATGCATTGTTTTCATAATTCAGCTCAAACAATTTGCCAAAAGAATACAAATGCATCATCTTTCTCATCCTAAGCTATTCAAACCTCTAAGATTTTGTTTGGAACAGCTTTAGATCATACTTTTTTCTTGCTTTTAAAAAAAATTTGTACTAAAAAATAACTTTACAAAGCAGTAAGAAAGTCATCCCAAACAAAACTTAAGTTTGTAAATCTACATTTATAACCTGTTGCTAAGCCATCCTTTACATTTATCTCTAAGTTGCTAAGTCCTATTTTTGACTGGGGGCTCACTTGGTTGGTAACAAATAGAAAACATGTAAAAAAAATGAAATCTTGGGCAACTAATAAGAACTTATAACTCTTTTTAGAGCTGCTAATTCAACATAGTATGTTCTGTTTCAAGAAAGCGCTTTTTATCTATTTAACAAAGCTTAATTTAGGCTTCGTTTGGGATAGCTTTCTTACTGCTTCTTAAAGCAGCTTTCTAGTATAAATTTTTAATTTTTAAACTAAAAAGTTGTTTTAAAAAGCAATAAAAAAACCATCTCAAACAAAACCTTAATAATAGATAACAATGGGAAATTATTTAGATATAAAATGTAAATACAAATATTTACTAGTGATCTACTGCCTGAGGACCCTATTTGAACTGAAATAGAAGTTCTCCTCGCCTGCAACAGTGGAATGCAACCTTCCTGCAGCCCAGCCATTGTTGAGCATTCGAGCAGGATCTCCTGTCACACGGGTACCATCAACAGAATTCTCATATTCTGGAAGTCCATTTTCCTTCCTCTCCTTTCTCCTCTTCCTGTCCTCGTCTCTCTCTTTTCTCAACCACTTCTCTACTGTTCTCTGCATTCAAATAATAATTTACAAACAAACTATGAGTTTTTTGCTATATTTTCTGTCAGAATTTTTGAGCTATGATTTGGTTCCTGAGAATCACAACTATAAATTAAAATGATTGTAGGTACAAAGGAGTAAATGCAAAAGTTCTACGCTATTAAAATTTCATTAAAAAAAAAAAAGAATTGAAGGATCTTGATCAAGGAAAAAAAATGGATGTTGCTAGCCAGGGATAGTTGAAGGTCTTGACTTGATCAATTAGACACTCATGTTCTCAAAATGAGACTTAAGCTTTGTTTGGGACGGCTTTTTTATTGCTTCTTTAAGTAATTTTTTAGTTCAAAATTTTTAATTTTTGCACTAAAAAGCTGCTTTAAGAAACAATAAGAATGTCGTCCCAAACGAAGCCTTAAAATAGCTTTTAGCTTTTCCAAACCTAGCATGTATCTTAGGTTTCGTTTGGGATGACTTCCTTAATTCTTCTTAAAATAACTTTATAGTAAAAAAAATTAATTTTTGTACTAAAAAGCTGCTTTACAAAGCAGTAAAAAGGCGTCCCAAACGAAGCCTTAGTTATTTTGAATAGGCATTTATCTTATTCTTCAAAATTTAGAGTAGGTTGATTGTTCTTACCAACCTTACAATTGTTAAAAATTGTAAAACTTCTATGCATTGCACATTGTTAAACATTGAAACAAGAATACTTACCATCAAAGAAAGGTTGCTCAATTCTTTTACTTTATCTAAAGGCAATGCTAATTGCAACTTCCCATGTGCAACATAAACCTGCCAATCAAAATAAATAGAAATTGAAACATTCTTTCTATATAAATACATAATTGAAGATTTACATGAACTTACAATATGCGATGGCCAATCCTCAAGACCATCAAATATATGAGTTGCATAAATAATTGTTGCACCCCTTCTTTCACATTCCTTCTTTAGATATATCAAAAGGTTTGACCTAACCACTACATCTAGGTCAACCGTTATCTCATCAAGAAGAAGAACCTAAAAATGCTTTGATAAACAAGAATTAATCATTTTATATTGACATTATATATATATATATATATATGTGTGTGTGTGTTGTGTGTGTGTGTTATGGGAACTTTGATTTGATATATGTTTGAATTCGCAAACCTTGAATGGTTTAAGAAGGCCCATACAAATTTGCACGCGCCTTCTCTGACCATCTGATGATCTATGCATTCTCCAAGAAAGATCAATATCTAAGACCTGACATGAAATTCACCAAGCAACAAATGAATCATTTTGGAAAGATATTTGAAGTAAGTTTTTTCCATTTCATATCAAGAGGAAAGAAACACAACTACATATATATAGAATAGAAAAAATTTTAGGTTAGGATGGATTTCAAAAGCATTGAATTTGCTTTGAGAGAGTGCAATTCAGGAAGAATCAATTAAAATCTGTATTGCATTCATGTCAAAGAAAATTCAATAGGTTTGAGGCCCAGATAAAAAAATTTAAGTAAGATATCATAAGTAATTTGTTTTCCTATGAATAAACACTGGGGAACAAAGCAAATTGTAAAGGGTAAACCTTGATTAGTTCATCTCTCCTTTGAGGATCAACACCAGAAACTCCATATATCATTTTCTCAGCTGAAATGTCCATTTGTATTGTAACTTCAAAACCTGCAAAAGCAACATCTCTCCTCCACTGGAAAGAAACAAATCACTCTTAGGTCAACACAAAATCCACGGATTTGTTGATACATTTCTTACCCATAAAAACGATTTTATAAACAATAGATATTCGATTCATAAACAAAATTCACCAATTGCAAAATAAAATTCCTGAATAAATTGAATTAAATGAAAAACCTGATATTAAAGCAGAAGATCATAAAAGCGCCAAAATCCTTACTTCTCCGCCCAGGTAGGAAAGCTCTCCGGAGGACGTAAGGGCAGTATCATGGAACGCCGATCTCCCCATAATACGCACCATATCTGGATCCACTATGTGCTTGCCTCCCAATATCTTCAGTATCGTTGTCTTTCCTGATCCAAACCCCCAAAAACATCAAATTCGATGCCGAAGCACATCGTAATCGAGATCTACAACTGAAAGATCTCAACTAAGGGTTGAATCTGGAGACTAACCGGCTCCATTAGATCCGACGAGCAGGCAGCGGTCACCAGCATGAAGCTGGAGGGAGAAGCCGTCTATTAGTGGCTTGGATCCAGGAGGCGGGTGACCATCAATCCCCGGATATGTGAACCGGAGGTTCCGGATCTCCACTATTGCCGTTTCCGCCGCCTTGTCGGCGGAGGAAGTGGCTGCGCCCGAGCCCCCGATCTCCTTCCCCATTAACCACTTTCTCGCTCTGCCACTGCGGAATTCTGGCTTTCACGGTGCTTTCACGACCGTTCCAATACAAATTTTTTTTTTTAGGGATATTCTTGCAAATCAGTCAGATATTTTTTTTTTTTTGGGAAAAAATCAGTCAGATATAGTATGAATTTAAATCACCTAAATTTTTTTTTTCCTAGTAAAAATTCTGGTATCTAAAATAATAGTTACTATGATTTTATATTTAAATATAAATTATTATTTTAGTATAAAAAATTTATTTTAAAATTTTGATTTAAGAAGTAGAAAAGTGATTCCAAATAATCTAAGCCTAAATATGATCAATATTAAAATAAATAAATAAATCAAAAAGAAATTTGATGTCCGCTTAATGGTGGGCTAACGTGGCAACAAACCTAACCACAACGGCCTGTTCTGCTCATTTATGGTAGTGGGCCAGGCTTGACATTCTTTGCCCAATTAATAATAGCTCTATGGGCTGATCAAATTATTAAAAATAAATATTCTATTAAATATGTGCACTTAGAAAAAGATCATACTAACATTTAAAGTTATCATTAATCTTTTTGCATATTATTGTCTTTGCATCTCTGTCAAATATTTACATATTTGTGTATCATAAAATCATACACTTATAAATAATTAAATATAGGCTATTGCTTACTAGATCATTTATGATAATTGAGAGTTTATAATTAAGATGGTATCATACACAACCAAAACAAGAAAAAAAAAATAGAGTTTAGGCTAATTGAAATAATTTCATTAGGGTATACCGTAGGTTTGTACCTTGGTGTATGCTTTTTGCTGATGATATTCTTCTTGTTGATAAGACTAGAGAGGGAGTTGAAGGTAAACTCGAATTATGGAGGTCAACTTTAGAGTCTAAAGGTTTTCGCTTGAGTAGATCTAAAACTGAATATATGGAGTGTAATTTTAGTAGTAATAGACCTAGTGAGGGGACTGTGATCACTTTGGTTTCAATGACCCGGTTAGGAAAGTTGAGGTATTAGATTTGACTTATGTTAAAAAAGGTAGAGGTAGACCTAAAAAGACTTGGTTAGAAAATATAAGAAATGATCTTTCTTTATTAGATTTAAATGAGAATTTGACTTTTAACCAGACATAATGGCAAAAAAGGATTTATGTAGCCGTCCCCACGTAGTGGGACAAATGCTTGATGTTGTTGTTGTTGTAGGGTATACCATAGGTTACAAATGACACATTTTGTTGTAATTGATAAAGGTATTACTACAATATAGTAAATATGAACTATGGATGATATCTTCCATCATAGAAATTAGAGGAGTCTTGAGGTATTAGAGTTGTATTCAAATGATTGTCGGTGATTTGTTCAAGTGTTCTTTTCATATGAATAAAAAACTTTAGTATTGATAACATGCATCATTCTTGTCAATGATGGAGAATACCAAGCCTACTATGAACAACGTGCATCAACCTTGTTAACCTTATTACTTTTTTTGGGGAGAATTAAGGGCAGAGCCCAATCTATTAAAATAGAAGAGATTACAAAATTGAATTAAAAAAACTTAGCCAGAAAAAATAGGCTAAGAAGATGAACCCAAAAAATAGTTACAATAAATGAGAAGAAAAAACAAAATGGACAGAAAAAAGATCTGTCTGGTTTGGGCTCAGAATAAAAGATATGATTATAGATTAAATCCAATCCTCCTTTGGTTGCCCGAAGATCGTCCAAAAGGAGAGTGCAGGCTTCATCATTGCCCACGACCCAAAAAACCTGCCAAAATGGGGTGTCGCTAGAATCGAATGGGTCTGAGTTTGATCTGCCAAAGTTCCCTCTTGAATACCGACCAACAAAAAGATCTCGCTAGCAACAGGAAGGCTAGCAAGAAAATGCCACCAATCATACCAGTATAGAGTTACCATCACGCGTGAAAGGCAACCAAAAATTCCCCAGAAAAAAGGAAAAAATAACCTCTTGCTACCAGCCAATGAAAAAACCTCTAGCCAATGATACGCAAAAAACAGGCGAATTCCAACCAGAAAAAATCAGTATTCCAAGCATCAACAGTCATATATCCAAGCAGAAAGAGTACCTCAGGTCAAGATGAATAACCTTCAATAGCACAGTTGTAACTTTTGTTTTAAAATACTACCCTTTTTCCATTTGTTAACTTCAGAATAACAACCCTGGCAACTTTTCGTTTTAAAGATGTAACACAAATAGCATTACCATTGAATTTCCTAGAATTGTGTTCATTCCAGATAAAATAAATAGCAGCATGAAAGATCAGAAGAGTTCCATTTCTGGTATCCTGATCATTGCTTAACCCATTAATAAAGTGAAGAGCTTGGGTAATGTTGGGTCTCAAGTAAAAGTTATGAAATTGGGGAATGAGCTTGGTAATGAGTTGAAAAGAGTAATCACACTCAAACAGGAGGTGAGTAGTGTTCTCCGGGTGACCATGACAAAGAGGACAAGAAGTATCCTCAATATTAATATTCCTATGTTTCAAAGCTTCAACTGTTTTAAGACCATCATTAATAGTAATCTAATAGAATGATTTTTGTGCCATACTAAGTGAACCAAATCAACATCAAAATCAGTAAAGAACTCATGTAAAAATCTTTGAAATTTGCATTTTCATTGTTATCCCAGGTAATGTGGTAAGGACTGCTATGGGATATAGGAATAGTATAAATAAGTTGTTTAAGACTTTTAGTAAGAGAGGTAGGGACAGACCAAGAGCCATCAGAAATCCAGCTTGCCAAATTACCGTCAGTTCCTGTAAGGAGATTAGAAACTTGCCCAGGAAACATAGAAGATATGCTATCATTGTGTAGCCAATGATCCCAATAACAATCAATGGGGCTATTTCGGCAAACTTGAAAGCAAAAGTTCTTTTAAAACATTGTAGCAGTATAACAGATATTTTTCCAATAAGCCGAGCTGAAAGAAGGGCAGGGTTTCCAAGGTGAGGAGTATCTAGTAATGAACCAACTAGATAAAATGGAGGCATTGTTGTAAAGTCTTCAAATTGTGCCACAGTTATAAGCAGATCTTAGAGCATTGAGAGAGGCTGTGAGAGCTCGTTCCTTTGATTTGCTCTCTGATTCTGATTTTTCTCCCAAGATCGTCCGGGACGATATTGAGATCGTCCAGGACAATCAGTGCATTGAAACATCTGATTTTTTTCTGGAATGGGATCGTCCAGACCGATTTTGGATCGTCCTGGGACGATCAGTGCATGGCAAAATCCAGAGAGCAAGAGTTTTTGGCAAATTAATTATTGTCCTGCATCGTCCTGGAAAATCGTCCTGGACTATTGAAAATTGGTCATATCGTCCTGAACGATGTGGTGATCGGCCAGGACGATCAGACTTATGTTATAAGCAAATCAGCTCGATTTGAGGAGAGAGAAAACATTTTTATAAATTAAAAAATATCTGAGGAGAGAGAAAGAGAAGGAAAGCGAAGGAAAAGTTCATTTTTGGAGGCCGCAGAGCGCTTTTTGTCCGACGCTGTTGGGAAAAGTGTTTATCTCGTGGTAAGGACTCCGAATCCTATTTCTGTTTTCAGAGATATTGAGTTTTGATCGTATTGTGCACTGTTTTGTGTTTTTGTGATCGAAAAATGGACCCGGTTTTGTATTGACACAACTTTTAATATGTTATAGATACAAATATTCTACACGATTTGATTATTTTCTGGAATGATTTCACCGGTTATTTTGAGTTCTACGCGATTTTGATCGAATAGAAAAATATCAGGATGTTTATTGATATTGATTCAGTAAAATAATAGTCTTATATTATTGTCGTGAACATTCTATTGTAATTTGGTGAATTGTGATTTTGTAGGATTTTTGTGTAAATTTAATAGACTGTCGTTACGCCGTCGAAATTTCGTACGATTTCCGATTTTTCTAAGATTGATGAATTGAATAGATATGCATATGAATATTGATATGATTGATCTACATTGTTCTTATATTGGCTATTGAATTGACTATTGAATACTGTAAGACAAGTGGAGCATGGTTGAACGTTGGTTGGAGATTGACTTGACCTGTACAGGATGGTGGGCCGATGGGCTTTCCTTTAAACTATTGATCATTGATATAACAATTGGGAGTTATAAGGAGTTTATTATGTCGACGGGCGGCCGACGGGCACAGAGTGACGACTCTTATTGAAACCAACGTATGGATATCTACAACAGCAACATGGATTCTACAACAGCAGAATAGCCAGTGATTGTACTTGTTCAGTATTATTAAATTGAAGTGCATATGTACAGTATTGACATATGGATTTACTGCTTTATTGATTTGATCGGATTTATGAATTTACTGTATCGTACGATTTCATCGATTTCATTTATTGATCGCTGAGCATTGATACTACTGAGCATAGATATTGATATGGATGGATATAGATATTGTATAGATTCATTGATACTATTGCTTCTTCACCATATTAACCTGCTGCATTTGATTCATTGCTAGTATAGATTGAGCTTTATTGTATTGTTTTTCTAATCGATTTCATTGACTGGATAGTATTAATTTGATCGATTGATCCGATACGATTGATTTGACTGATCGATTGATTTTCTTCTGTGTACGGACTCTTCTGAGAATTGACATATTGATTTATTGAGTTTGATTTATCGATTCTTCTATCGCTGCATCGACCATTGATTTCATTGACTATTGATTTCCGTATTGCATAGATCCATTGACCATGTGCAATAGACTGTTATGGATTTGATTGACTGACATGCATATTGATAGCAGCACCGTGCTTTGATTTCAGTTATAGGTATTAGGTGACCTGCTAGGCTTTGTAAAGCTCATTATATGTGGTTGATATTTTCAGGTCAGCGCAAGGGAGCAGGAGATTGAGGTTGATTAGGAATCTCCAGGTTTTTGTTCTTTTTGATTATAGTGATTCTTTTGTACTCAGGACAGGATAGATTTCAGTACATATTGTAGTTCCTGAGTATTGTATATGATCTTTTGAGATATGAATCGACCTGTACATTGATGTTTTAAATGTTATAGATTTTTGTTAGACTGTCTGATTGATGTTATAGATAGCTCTG